TTAATGCATTGCCTTATAGTACATACTACCTTGGTCAGCTGCTTAGTATTCTCTCCTTACCTAATAACCATTTCTATTCATTATTATCCCTTCTGCAAATCTTCAATTCACCTAAATCAACTTCTGACTATAAAGTACTTGATTCCCTTGCATGTTTAAGTTTCATTTCTCATACTGTGAAAGATTAGTTTCATTATTAGCCTTCATTACTGTGCTTAGCTGATTTTTTAAAATGTATGATTCCCTATCCCCATCCGAATTATCTGCTGTGAACTTTCTTTACTCCGGCATCCAAACCTGTCATTAATATCACAAGCTCAGCACTTTTCCTCTCCATCTCCTCTTACCATGTCTTTTCTCTGCTTTATCTCCTTCCTGCTTTACTCTCTTTCACTTAGAATAGCTGTTTCACAGATTGCATTATATTAATCAGTAATATAATTTCTTTGTATCGCTAACATTTAATTAACTGTGTCCTCCTTCCTGTGTGTCCAAGACTGCCTTCATATATGGAGAAACTCAGTTTAGGAGTGTAGGAGCCTCATACTGTAGATATCCTTTATTCAAGCAGTATCTGCCATCAATTCAGCTTTTTCTGTCAAGAAGGACCAGCAGCATTTCCACTATAATTCAGCTGAAAAATAAGTAGTGTTTCTATCAAATGGATGAAGCTGTTAAACTGGTTACTGTTTGTACAGTATAAAGACCTCTAGAATCCTGAAATGACTTTCACTCCAGAGGTTCACTACCTTTCCCATACAAGGTGAGAGAATCTAATAATTGTGAAAATATGTATTAATATTTTTAATTTGGCTAAGAACTCTAACCTTGAGGAACTAGTGGATTTAGACTAATGCTTAATATGGGTATAATATTCATTTGTCCCTAAAGTTAGACTTTTTTAATATACATTTTCTAGCTTTGGTACCTTTTCTATATCCTTTTCTGGATGATGGAACAGGTAAAATTTCCAAAAGCAGCTAAGTGATTTAGGAGCCTAAATCTCATTTACAAAAGTGACTTGCAGTGAGACTTGGGTTTCTAAGTAACTTCTGAAAATAGGACTTAGGTTCTTCGGTTCAGGTAGATTCCTTTAAAATTTTTAACATACTTTCTTATGTGGGTGTCTGGAACTCAAGGGCTGGAATTCCACCTTTTGACAGTGCCTTCTTCTGAGAACATGGACAAGTCACTTAGTCATACTATACTCCAACTGTGAAATGGGGATAATAAATATTTACCTGCCTCACAAGATTGGCTAATGTTTGTGAAGTGCTTAGTGGAAAAAAACTCTGCCTCACAAGATTGGCTAGTGTTTGTGAAGTGCTTAGTGGAAAAAAACCTGGACAGTGGATTTCTTTTCTCTGAGTATTCAGGCTCACCATTCCTTTATTGTTTTACTTCTGCTCTGTGGATAAGGCTGCAGAACTGGGCCTGTCAATCATCAGATGGGAGTTGGACTGAAAAATAGCTTAACTTTAACTGTTAACACTTAATAGTTGACTTCCCCTGATTTAAAGTGTCTCCAGAGCACAGTAGCATTACTGAACAGAACTTTGCCCTTTTACATTTAGGAGTGGGGGCAGAGGGTCAGCATGGGAACTACTACTCAGAGAAGAGAAACATACAGGTTATCAATGGACTCTGCCTGTCGTCTTGGCTCACTATTTTTCTGTTGGGGTTTCACTCCCAAGAAAGTGCTTTGAATAACTCTTACCAAAATGAAAGCAAAAAGTTCTAGATTTATAGATGTATTGAAGTATTATAGCATGCAGTTTACTCCTAGCAATGGCAGAATCTGACAAAGCCTGTATTGTTTAGTTTGTAGTGTCTGGCAAAAGCGTGACTAAACTATCAACCCTTCAATCCTGCATGCTTAACTTTAAGAAGCATCAGTCCTGTGGCACCTTTAAGACTAACAGATGTATTTAAGAAGCATGTGAACACTCCCATTGACATCTGAGTGATTATTCAGGAGAGTGAAATTAAGCATGTGCATGCTGACAGGATTGAGGCCCAAGTTTCTGCCTTGCAGATTTTTTTTTTCTAGGATTCAAAGGACGTTTAGGCCCATGAGACAGGAAGTGCTCTTACTGGCTGAGCTTTGATCTCCCTCTTTTATTTTCCCCTTTAATATAATTTTAAGCCCTAGCAGTAGATATTACTTTGCCTTTAACAACTGGGTGTTACAGGAGAAATAACTGTAGATTTTCTATATGCCCAAGTTCTCGCAAAGCAAATCACAACTGCCTTGAGAATGTTAATCATATGCTTGAGTTTTAGGTTGGATATTAAGGTGAGCCATTCTCCTGAGAGTGATGAAACACACTGTTGTCTTTTGATGCAAAGCAGCAGTTGAGGTAACCTTATCCTGAACAGGTTAATACTGAGATTCCATTGGCAATGTCCTTACTTCTCAGTTGTTCTGCATGCAGATGTGATGGCCACCAGAAATGCAACTTTGATGGATGTTCACAGATGGGCTGCGACCCATGCCTTCTGAAGTCAGCCAGTCAGGGCAGGCAATAGTCTGATTTCAAGTGGGAGCCATTTGAGACAAGTCTCTGGACAACCTCTATTTGAAGAATGGTGGGTAGAACATCTGAAGAGGGAGGCCACTGATGAACTGCCACCTTCTGGAGATAATCATGGATTGCTGCAGTGCTTACCGAGAGGGGGCTGTATGTGTGAGGAATACAAGCAAGGAAAGGCATTCACTCCCAGCTGGTGAAAGCATTGGCAGCTAGGAGAGGTACCTTTACAACAGTGGCAGCTGAGATAGGGACCACCACAAGGTCCATGTAGAGCATAGGGGATGTCCCTACTGGGGTGTTAAGTGCTAGAGCCTTGCCTAATTGGAACCCATGGAGTCAGTTGATCCTTGGGTCCTTCTGCTGGTCTGAAGTTGAGAGTTGTGGAACTGCTTCTGGTACCTCTGTCCAGTTTTGTGCCTGCTAGTCTGGAAGGGTTACTGAAGTAGGATCAGAGTTAGTCCCTTCTGTTGTGCTCTGTGCTGCACTGCCGAGTGCAGACACCAGAGCCAGAGCACCTTCTTGCATCGGTGCCATTTCTTGGACAGTCAGGTTGTAGGAGGGGTTGGGTTGAAGCAAGGCCAGAGATCTTATCCCCAGCCTCTGATGTGCACCACATCACTGAGTGCTGAAACCCGGGGTACCAGTGCCAATGGTGGGGCTGATGACTGAAGGTAGATGCTGGAACATGTTGACTGAGAATGTTTCTTAGAGCAAAATTTGTACATTAGGCTGCTGCACTCAATGGAGCACATTCACATTGCCCTGACTAGACAGGCTCCTGAAGAAAAGCACAGGCCAATTCCCAGCTGGGACAAGCAAAGACACCAATCTGGAACAAAATCAGAATGTTTAAAAAGGATTTCTTATGCTTTGTAGCTCATGGAAAACAGGTCTGGAAACTACTATTTGCTGCTGCCAGAAGGCAGATCAAAACTCATTTGTTATTACTTGGTGATTGACAGGTCTGATTTTGCCTCTCTAGCTGCACAAGCAGAAGTAAAAACCAGTGTGGAAATGGTGAGCCTGGATGTGGAAAAGCAAGCAATAAGTATTATTGTCAGAGCAGTGTATCTGATCTGGAAGAAACAACATACAATGTAACATCTTCCAGGAAAGAAAGACTATCTGGAAGTACATTTAGGAAAATGCCATTTCCTAACTGAGTAATTTAATGTAAGTTCCAACAAAGCAGAAACATCTGAACCTTCCTAGTTTCAAACCATTGAATTACATACATATATATATATATATACACACACACACATACACACACACACATTATATAAAGTTCCAGAAACACTTTATTTAAAAATGGAGTTGTAAATGCATATAACAAAATAACATACATAATAAATGTAACAAAAATAAATAAGGAGAATATATCCATACAAAATAACATAGTAAATGCAAAATGCTTCTTACAGAACAAAAGGGTGTAAATGCCTGAATGAACACAAACAAAATCTTGTGCGGAGAGCCTAAATTTTTAATTTTTCCTAAACCGCTTCCTATTTTTCATGTGTCTGGGGAAAAATTCTGTTCCCAAGGATTAAACAAAAGAAAGAATTGTGATGGTGGTTTTGGTGCACTAATTTTTCAACACCTGACCCTATTTTCAATTTATTTTTGCCCTTCTGCACCATTTCAAACATTTTCTATCGCCTCTGTAAACTAATGGAGTAAATATTGAGTTGTACAAGAAGGATATTCTGTTTTCTTTTAAACTTTAAACAAATATGAAATCCATTATACCACAAATTATTGGTTTTCTTACATCGCTACAAAAATGTTTTTGCATTTTTATTAACTGGTCTAACTTTTTAGTGACTTCTGAAATCCTGTACAATTTAAAAATGTACAGAAAGTATTTTAAACATATGTCATATAGGATTATTGCTGAACTACTAAAGACCATTTCATAAAAGCTGCAAAACTGTATGTGTAACATTAATATAAAGAGACTGACGCAAAAGCAGGGAAATTCCAGTCTATTAGTTACATTTAACAGAAATAAGATTCCTCCAAATTAGTGTTCTGGAAATACAAGGTCATTTACTTTTATTTTTATTATTTCCAAATGTTACGTTACTGGGACAACTTATATAGAAAATAGGTTTATGTAGGATATTTTAAATACACTTGCTTTTCAGTGGTATAAGCAAGAAATCTACATTAGCAGTCTTCTTTCAGAGTCCTTTTAAACGTATAAGACAGAGAGACAGACTTACGAGGATTCTACAGGAAAATATACAGAAGCAATTTATTTGCTTGGGAGTGAGACTATTGATCAACCAAGTTATGACTACTATCTCCAAGTCTTCAGAAGAAAATTTTACACCTCATGATCATTCCAAGAAACACACATCGCTTTTGTAAACTTATGTTGCATTTGAATTGGCAACTTAGTATGAGAACCCATTTGCCTCACTATGCTTTTAAATGTCCCACACAGTTGTATGTGTAAACTTGTTTTATTGTTTCGACAAACATTTGGAGAGAAATGAGATATGAAATCCTTCTACTTTCATTCACATCAAAAAGACATTTTGAACAAGATCAAAAAGTGCCAAATTGTCCTTTCGGAAAGTGGATTAAAACACTGCTCTGTTGAAACAAGTACAGTATTATCAATTTTCTATGTACATCAAAAGACTGACTCCTATTGATATTGATATGTTCACCTACCACTCCCAGCAAATTCTTAGTGCAAACATAATAGCTGAACTTCGTAAACTCCAAGACAATTTACGCAGCAACAAGGTTATATAAATCACAGAACTATTTGAAAATTTCAGTATGAAAGAATGAATGCTTTGCAAAGTCTGTCTTATCTTATACAATAATGTGTTATTGTACTCAAAGGTAATGTATCCTATATAAATCCTCTTATTCAGCATCAAACATAACTGTTCAATAATTCTATACAAACTTTAATTGAAGAGGTCCATTTATAGAACAGGTTGGCACAGGTGACTTGGGGTTTCAGTAACATTGGATGTTAGTCTGCTTGCAGGTCACTTTAAAAGCATTGCTCTTAAAAAGAAAAATCTATGTATGGAAAGACTGCTGATAGAATTCTGTTTGCAAAGCACACAACCACAAAGGGCAAACCTGCCACAATCTGCTTTTCTATATTGGTATCAATGCTCATCTGTATGGTTTGAAGAGGATGTGCATGACAATCAAAGCATCACAGTTAAAGGAAACTGGTTTAACAAACCAACTGCAGTTTGAACATTTTGTGTGTGTATAAAAGCAACACTATGACTCTTCATTTATTTCTAGACATTCCATATTGAAGGTAATTATGACAACAATTAATAATGTCATTCACGCACACTGGGATCTTCCTCCTCCCCATCTGGGTTGAACCTGTTGAAATGTATGCTGAAGTCAGGCTTGGATTCAACATTGTCAAATGCAGTTGAAACAGAGATGACGGCAGGCCGAAGGGCTCTAGCTTCAGGTTGACAGTTTGGTTGTATCTGAGCGCGGGTACTGTGAGAAACAGGGCTGGACTTATGTTTAGGTTGAGCAGGTAAGACAGGGCTTGTGAATCCCAAGTTGCTCAGAGCATCCAAAGTACCATCAGGGTCAATCATAGCATTAATCACTAAACCACCAAGGAGTGGAGGGAGGGAGAGAAACAAAACAAAAACAAAGATTAGGGTTTTGTGCTTTGAGAAAAACAACTCTTAAACAAAGTCTCTATCATACTTTTCAGCATTTGAATTCATACACATCTTTGATTCCCTCCCCTGGGTTAAGAGTCTGCAGACAACCCATTAATATCAAGAACTCAGCACTGTTCTGTTTCATTTTCAGAGCCTGAATGGAAATGATGATGCAAAGATTCGGTTCTATTGATTATTTCTATAATGCCAGAATATTGACAGAGATGCTGGCCTTTTGTCTGCTGGACATTACAAAATAATTACTCGAATACAAGAACATGATGATGACTGTAGCTTGGTATGTCACCTCTGGCAGAAGCCTTTTCATATACTAAGCCTCAATACTTCAGGGAAACTATACAAAACCTATACAATGCATGGTTTGGTTAGAAAAAAGAGAGGGTGAACAGTCTAAGACTAGCTGATGATCAACTTGTATCTGGTACCATGAGGGCCAATAGCCCTTATACTGTAATGGCAGATACAGTTCTTATTCACATACAAGGGTTTTTATTTTGTAATATTGCTAAGATATTATATTTCCTTCAGTAATATCCTATAATAGTAAATTCCATAAATTGATTAAATGCTGCATAAAACAGTAATATCTTTTACCCCTTTTAACTGACTGCATTAGGAAGTGGGAAAAACTGAAGTACCAAATACAGCTTCACTGTACAATTAATAATTTGGTATGTTCAACGTGTATTTTTCTGCTTTCCAAACAGAACTGATCTATGTTTCCATAAGGTCTAATTAGATTGTCTGAGCACCTAAATAACCACTGTTTTAATCTCTGATTAAATGTGTGCCCACTCATACATTTTGTTACCTTTCTCAGGACCTCATATTTCTAATTTTTTTAAGGTAAAGTGACTTAACCCAAACACAGTAATCAACGTATATAAATATGTATAATATTAAAATATGTCCTTTATTACTCTTCATCCCTTAATACAGATATATCTTAGAATCAAATTAGCATTTTTGAATTTGTGTACAGTGAGCAGATATCTTCAATGACCTGTCCAAGACGTCTAGATCTTTCTCCTGAAATTTTCTTTTTTTAAAAACATACATTAATAGAGGGTTTAAAATCAAATTAGAATACAAACAAAATAGCAAATTACAATACAACATACAAAAAATCAAGACAACACAACCCAATCTCACAAAGAAATATACATAAACATGGACCATTACTCCATCTCTCCCATCAAAACTATAATCTGCTCTTCACCTCACACACACTTATGCGTGTACACATTTTATGTGTAGGTTCTCTTTCATGTAGTCAAACTCAGCTAATTAATCGTTTAAAGTTGCATTTTATTTATTTTATAAGTGCAATATACATGTGATGCACTCTTAGCCATGTCTGCATAGCAAACTTCTATAACTGAAGCATGTATCTCCACCCACCACACATCCTCATAATTAGTCTTGACACAGGAAAAAGCAATAGTTTAGCATTTATTTAGTATTTTGGTAGCTCAATGTATTATCAATAAATTATTCAGTACCCTGAAGTAGAGAGGACAATGTAATTTTAAATATCCCTTTTATAGCATTAATCTGGAAGTCCTTAATTTTTGGACATAATCAAATAACCTGTTTTAGACACTCCCTACAGGCTGCACTCCTACTATATTTTTCTTTCTTGTCCTTAATTGTTGTATACATGAAGATATTAGTGCCTTGGAGAGGTCTTGATTTACCCTATCTAACCAGTCTGAATCTCTGCTGCCATGCTGCAAAACTGTCCCTTGCCAAATACATACATAAATAAAAATACTGAATCTGTCAAGCCTTCCTGATGTAAGTCGCTTGCTTTCTTTTGGGAGCCTCTCTCCTTTTCATTTTAACTCTGGCCTTCTCTCTTCCATACAAAGTGCATAATCATTTCCCCTCATAGTTTTAAAATAATTTAGTAAAGCCTCACTACTGAGATGTTAATCTGTAATCAAACATTAATATAATATGAATGTTATCATTATTATAATTTATTAAAATAACATTTTGGTTTATTCTTTTTATATATACATTATGGAAGTCTTGTTTTAGCTTACATGGAGATCCTAATTACTTCAAACAGAATTAATATATAATACACTGGTTCAAACAATGACATGAAAAAAATTGTTTAAAGTTTCTTCTATGAACAGTAGGAAACTGGCCAATGGAGAAAATTTCACTCTTCCCCTGAGTCATGTAGTTTAGCTCAGTTCACAATATCTTCTCCCAGCATTCATATTTAGTAAGACGTGAATAAGGTTTATATGGCTTTAATGGAAAATGTCTAACCCTGTACTCCAGGATGATTACTTTTACAAAGCAATGTACAATTATGCATGAAGGTGGTCAGGAAATTAGGGATTTTTACTCCACCTTTCAATCTTAGTTCCTTGAAATAGTGATGTACCATAAATAACTGTTTAAACCAAAGACTTGAATTAAAACAAAATAAATCAATGTGAGCCATTTTGGAGAGTCTTAATATTACCTTACCCTGGTCAGTATTTATTAGGGGTTTCTGCAATGCATTTAGACATTATGCAGCAAAACTGTATAAAACATGAAATACCTTGCAACTGTTTTTCAACTCTTTTCAGCTCCTGCAAGATTGATGAAATCTCCTGGGGAAGAAACAAATGTTCAAACTTCTAGTGCTACTTTTCACTAAGAAAAAACAGATTTAATAATTCAATAGTAAACTTAAAAGAAATCATTTCATTAGTTGTTTGGGTTGTATCTCCCTGCAGTAGGAATGGCTCTTGTTGGAGATGGTTGTTTGTGTGTATATGTGTGTGTGTGGGGGGGCGGAAATAACCAGGGCCCCTGGCCAGATGGCCAGTTAGGTCAGGCTGCATTGCTGTGAGATGCACAACTGGTTGCCCTATCAGAAACAAAGAATTCCTCTGACTGGCCAGTTGCCCACATCGATTCCTTAAATGGGGTCCACGGGTATCAAGGCTCATTCCATTCCTTGCTCGTGGACCCGTAAAACCTATTCCCAACCATGAGCCAGACTGAATCCACCATGGCACCAGGGTTGGAAAGAACCATTTTGCCAAAACATTGAGGCAGCTAACCAGCAAGGCTTTGCAGGAAAGTTACAATATAAATTCATTTTTAGGGGATGTGGGGAAGATGCTTCATGTCTCATAACCTGATTTAGGGGTAATCAGGATAGCTTATACCACAGGACAAAAGGTATTCTAACTGGCAGAGGTTAGCTTGATGGTGGCTCTAATATAATATACTGGAGTTGAGCACCCAGCTAACATGGTGACCATGCCTGGAAAGTCTGAGCTGTACAGTCTAGGCACCACTCAAGAAAATTAGGTAACCATGATTATGACCAGATAGTTATCCCACAGCCATAAGAGGTGCAGTCACTAATGTATCAGTACTTACATTACTGATACGTTAACACGAAACTGTAGCTATTAAGTAATTTCATTTTAATAATGTATCATGTGTTGTTGTGGAGTACCTGCAATAAGGTCAGTTTGAGTGCATCTATAATCCTGCCTCTGGAATACCAATTGGGCATGTTAGAACTATAAACTGAAGCAGCAAAGTTCTAATATTCATAATGCTTTGAAAAGAGCAATGAAGAAACATTCTTCTTTTAAAGCTAAGAATTTTGCAAAATAGCAACTGACTTCCAGAATTCTTTTGAAAGACTTCTGTACTGATTAATCCAATTTATGGATTCTTGAAGGTGGCCAAGAAACATTTGAGCCAATTATCTTGGGTTTGATGGGTTAAGGCGATATCTTTCAGCAGATTCCACATTCGAACATGACACCAGTGTTCCACAGACAATAGTCATGATAGTCCTTCGGCATTTTTTGAGAACATTTGATCTAGAACCAGTAAATACTGGAATTCTACAATCTGGTGCTAGACTCTGATCAATAAACTGTTGATACCAAATACTAAATAGAAACTATAAATTCAGTAGTTGGGACCAAAAAAATTTCGGACTTTAATGTTTTGCCATAGGAAAAACAGTGAAATTAAAATCAATCAAGTTAGGAACAAACACAAAAACTAAAACTTTGTTTAAAAATGTCTTCCTTCTATGAGAATCCTTAAATAACAAGTATATATAAATGAATTTTAGGATACAAACTTAGACTCCTTGGTAAAAGAAAGACCTGCATTGAAAAAGACCTGAGAATACCTCTCTTAAATTACCATGTTTCTAATATTATAAGCTTACTTCAGAAGTTTTTATGAATTATTTGCCAAATTTAAAAAAGAACTGTAAATGTACCCAATTCATAGCACTTAATCAGTAAAGTGGATCTGCCTTTGAAAAATGAGTGTTCTATAGAAATTACAAGACCAATAACAAATGTTCAGTGGTTTAAGAGAAAAATAAAGCTGGATTTAGATTATCAAATCTGATAAAGTTCTAATATCTAGTGACTTAATAAGACTGAAAACTAAGGGTTAATCAGCTTGTGATTTAGCCCATTGCAAGGAACAGTGCATTGTTGTGCTGTGAGAACGTGACTAGTAAATTCAGTCTCCTTCCTGGTCTCCCCACTGCTCCAGGAAGGGAGTAGACTTGATGGGTGTGGACAATCCGAATGCACTGGTGTGACTATACTTCCCATTCCTTTGGGCATGAGGAGGTGATGTAGTGGCTCTGCAGAGCATGTTTCCCTCTCCTTGCAGGAAGCAGTGGCAAAGTGCAATGGAGTAAGGGGGTAACTCACATGCTCAACTCCCTTGCATTGGTGCTCAAGATAGGCCACAATCTGGCCTTAAATAAGAAGGAATAAATTCTTACTTACACATTTCATAATGTCAACTGAAAAGCAGGAAACAAATGTGCTTAATTTTGAAGAGGGCATTTTCTACAATATTTCCTAAATATTTTCATTCACCTACATCAAAGTACAACTATTTTTCTAAATAGTAAGAGCCAGTAATTAAATCGGTCTTCCTCAAGCATGTGAATTCCAGTGAGAATTCCTCAAACATAATCCAGATTTTAAATTCTGAGGGTTACTAAATTATTCTTTGCTCAAATTAAATGTATTTTAAGGAGTCGGTGTTTGTTTTGACTCTTTGATTTATTAAGCCATTCTTCAGAAAAAAAACTCAGGTTATTTCAGGCCATTTCTCACTGAGAGTGACATGTTCTGAATACACTAGCCTTTGGTTTATTGTCCTAATGTAACATACCTAACAAAATGCATATAAACACAATGGTTGAACTATGCTTTGTAGTATTTTAAATGAACATTCTTAAGATGCTGAATTCTAGAGAATAGAATGTTTTTCTTATCATTTTGTTCAATATCCATGAAGTATGAAAATTTTAACTAATTTAAGAGCTATTGAGGCAGAAAGTCTCCTAAATTCTCAAACTTTTTCTCAAGATTATTGCCTTGCTTCTTCCCCTTTAAAACATGCCCAATCATTTATGAATTAGAAACCAGGTGAAAATGAGTCTCGTTCCATCCCAAGAAGATACTTCTTCATACCATGCTTGAAGTTTTTACAATAGGAACTTCGCTCTCAGTTCGTAACTTGTTTTCAATTTCTTCCCAATTCCGGTCTTTGTCCTTAAATAATATTCTATAAACAAGAAATGCAAAAATTGTATTTTAAAAAGAGATACATTATCAAATACACTATTTTTCAAAGATCTACAGACCTATGATGTTAAAAACAAAACAAAACACAACAACTTGGAAAACACTGATAAATTGGAATTTGAAATAGAGACAATTGCCACAGGCCTAGCATTAAGGATTATATTTTCAATGCAATTTGTAGCTAACTCCTTGTATAACTGCTAGTGACCATAAAAATTGCAGTCACATCTAAATACCTGCATTATTTTGAAAATATGTATCTAAATATCACTCCTACTTTTTTACCACACAGAACTGTTTTTATAATAGGCAAAAAATATTTTATTGATCTTGTATTTTACAACACTTGCAAATAGAAGTGAAAAAATGTTAATAGATCAAAAATGACGACTCATTTTCATTCTTTTAAATAAATTAATGGAAAATACAGCATGGTAGCAAAATAAAGAAAAAATATGAAGACAGTTGTGTTGTGCAGACTTTATAAACTCATTTAGTAATGCTGATAGTTTTTTTGTTAATCAAACTTATTACAGCACATGGTTTCTGAGGGTGGACTGAAGATCTTTTTTCTAGTGACCTCGAATCTTAGAAACCTCAACTGCATGTATATAACTTAGTAACATGAGAGTTTTAGTTTTAGTGTCAAATTCCCTTTTATTGTTTATTTTAGAGCACCCATTATAGTAGGTGCTTCAAAGACAATTTCTTGTTTTATTATTTCCCTGCAGTATTGAACAGTTTTTATATTCTCTTGCTACATCACATAAATGTAATTTCAGGTTGTCAAAGTTTCACATCACAAAGAAAAGGGGATCTATGGGTATTTAATGTTTGGGTTACTGCATCTTTATTTTCAAGTAGTGAATAAAAGCCACTAACTATCACACCATATGAGAGTATATCTCAAATTTGCCTTCCCCCGAATAATTCGATTAGTTATTAAACAAACGAAAATGCAGCTGCAATCGTTGCACCTGTTAGTGGTATTTCAGAACCAGAAGGAATTTACCTATGTTTTTCCTATTCAGGGGATAGTGGCATCCATAAGTGTCCAGGCATGCAAATTAATTAATTTAAAGCACCATCAAAAGGCCACACACTTTAAACAGTCACCAAGTTAGTGGTGACTCCAACGAGAGACTGCTGAGCTGGAATTGATATGCAAACTAGACACAATCAACTCAGGGTTAAATAGGGATTGGGAATGGCTGAGCCATTACAAACATTGAATCTATCTCCCCTTGTAAGTACTCTCACACTTGCTTCTTATCAAACTGTCTGTACTGGGCTATCTTGATTATCACTTCAAAAGTTTTTTTTCTCTTACTTAATTGGCCTCTCAGAGTTGGTAAGACAACTCCCACCTGTTCATGCTCTCTGTATGTGTGTATATATATCTCCTCAATGTTTCACTCTATATGCATCCGAAGAAGTGGGTTGTAGCCCACGAAAGCTTATGCTCTAATAAATTTGTTAGTCTCTAAGGTGCCACAAGTACTCCTGTTCTTTCTGCGGATACAGACTAACACGGCTGCTACTCTGAAACCTGCCAAGTTAGTGGGGGCTCTCTCCAGAAATCATTTTTTATAAGTGAAATTGGTGTGATGTGTGGCATTTTACATCTCTTAAAGGCTGGGATTTTTAAAAGCGCCTAAGAGGGTTGTGTGTCCAAATTTCATTGAATTGCAGTTGGTGTTTGGCACCAGCTTCCTTAAGCTCTTTCAAAAATCTCAGCCTAAAAATTACCATCATGGTAGAAGGTACTAATCTTTTAAAACTTGTGCCCCTTTATTATTAATACTTTAAATTTTGCAGGCAGCTCAAATTTTTCCTAATTGCTCCTCCTGACTTTGCCACTGATCTTCACGGTCACTGTTGTCTCAATATCAAACCATAAACGTCATGAGTTTTTCTTGTCAAATGTTTCACTTCATTAAGAAGTGCTGTCTCAGGATATGTCTACACTGCAATCAGGAAGTGCGAGTGCACCATGTGTAGACATATCTGAGCTAGCTTTGATTGGGCTAGATCAAACCTAGCTTGCATAATAATAGCTGTGAAACGGTGGCAGCAGCAATGGGTGTGGCTAATATTTAGTCCTGCCATCAGTGCAGGGGACTGGAGTAGATGACCTCTCGAGGTCTCTTCCAGTCCTATGATTCTACTCAAGTATGTTACCAGGATCCTGGGCGAGCAGGCCTTGCCCATGAAGCCACTCACACTGTCGTGGCTTCACTGGTATTGTTACCCAAACTAGCTTTGATCAAAGCTACTTGGGTATGCCTACACATGCTGCAATCACACCTCCCCATTGTAGCTTAGACATACACTCAGTGAAGTGGGAACAAGGCAAAGGACCAAAGGAAGAAGAGAATTAGTGCCTTAATAGACAAAGCCAGAGCAAGGATAGGCATTAATAAAACCTCTCTTTTCCAAGAAGACAGAATAAACCAGAAAATTATCAAGGGTATGGAGAAAGATGACACCCTTGTGAAGGAGCCCACCTCTTTAGGACTCAGTAGTTTTAGTGGGACAAAACCATTTGGTTACAGATATACTCAGAGAGATGGCAGGAAGATATTCAAGGTTTTCTGGCAGGGAGTGAAGATGTAAAACTCACCTTCAAAGTTATCAAACTGCAAGCCTGCAGACCTGAAAGTCATACTAATTTTGAACCATTAGGACTTACCTGCAGGCTAATGAGCTACAAAAAGAGTAAAGCTAGTTAGGTCCTGTAGTACTGGTGCAAATAACTCCTGGAGACATTTGGGAAACGTATAGAGAATCAGCTCTGGCTATATTTCCTGCATCTTCTACCGGCTTGTCTGTCATTCTGGACATCAGTATGAACACAGTTTCTTTAGTGCTTAAGAATTATTTACTGTTCCTTACTCCTTATTTGAAGTCATAATGCTCTATTTTTGGCATCACACTTATTAGTTTCTGTGGAAATGATTGTGATGTGACAAACAAACAGGGGATTAGTACTTCATGTAGGGAATATGCAGCTAGACCAGAAGAACACATTCCTGTTGAATGCAAATATCCTTAGTAAAAGAAAAGTTCAGAAAATCTAAGATATATAAGCAGAATTGTTTTTAAATATTCTATTTTCCAAAATACACCAGGAGGCACTCAATGCTTTTCCAAGAAACTGCAGAAGGTATTGTGACACGCACTCAGATATGACACTTTTATCTTCCCCCTTTTCCCTCATTTACCCTCTTATTATCAATTTTATTATTTCAAATTTTTCCGACCTTCAGGTCAGGTGATCAGATTCTTTTACTGGCTTCAGCCTGAGTGATTCCAGAGTTAATGCTGTTTGTTTCTCCATCTTTTCTATTTTTCTCTATCTTTAGCTCTCCTTATCTTTTAATTTCTCCCTTTCCCCATACTTATTTTATCTAGCCTCTAGTATTTTCTTTCTTTTTTGCTCAATAATCTATCAGTATTTTCCTTTTCTGTGCTGCCTTTCCCCTGATTTCTGCATATCTCCTCTCACCTCCTGTTAGGTCAAGATACAGACTGAAAAATTGACACTTCTAGCTATCTACACATAGGCTTCTAGCACCAGATTTCTAGGATTTAAAGGGCAAATTTCCCTTCTGTTGCCTCTCAAGTCCAATCACAACCATATTGAGCCAGCTAGAATTTAATCAAGGCCACATACCTGTTGCCACTAGCGCTTAACTTCATGTCCCAACACTGGTAACTGATGGATCTCAATTACCTAAAGCTGGTCAGGAAAAAACTTCCAATACATTTTAAAGTTGTTCCATTGTGTAGGGATCAAAATGGAACCAATTTTATTTTTAAAAATTGTGAATTTTTAAAAAGTGAAAATGGTTTAGAAAATACTTCTGCAATAATTTTGATGTTTTTGATTAGTTTTTGCAACTTTTATATCCAAATACTTATGGAAGTTTTCCTCATGTGCCTGCAAGACTGCTGTCTTTCCTCCCATCACTCTCCTTGTGGTATCAAGCCCACTTGCTTTACCTTCTCTCCAATACACTTAACTGACAGTGCAGCTCTCCATTTTACTATCATCACACTAGACACTCTGCTCCAAATATAGGAGACTTGAAAAGCCTAGAAGTTAGCATGAACACAGATCTGCATGTTGGCTTTGCCCTCCCAAGATCACACTTAGCATATGTCTGGGGATGTGATCCCCAGCTCAAGGAGACTTATCTGTACTAGCTCTCATCAAGTTAGCATGCTAAAAATAGAATGTAACTGTGTGAGGGGCTAGCTGCTTCAGGTATGTGCCTATGGTCTTAGATGGGTACATACTTGGTGCGACAGACACATTGTGCGGACTTTCTCTTCTCTGAGGAGCCACCACTATAAGTGACTTCCAAAAAGCTGGTGATAGGATGCTGGGCAAGTGAACTGTGGAATTTTGGGGTGGTTTAGTGCAACCATTGAGATTCTTATCCATCATTGTCTATAGACAAATAGGGAAGAAGCCAGCAAAACAAAACGATTTATTTTTCTTTTTTCCCTCAGATTCATTTATTTCCTAAACACAGATGCATCTCAGCTTATTTTTAATTTATAGCAAACATTCTTGTGAGGAACTGCTGAAATATATGTACTTAAATTCAGAACCTAACTCAGCTGGTCTTTTGGGTTAAACTGCATATGGTATTGAAAATAAATAATACAGCAAAGAATAGCGCTCTCAATCCAAAATGTAAGAAACATGTTTATTGGAAATGACAGATTTTACCTGTTTTAGAGAGATATAAGTTTATAGTACTCAGGACACAATTCATTAGCACAACTCCAGTTGCCCTGCACTGCGTTTGTCTTGTAACAGAATCTCTCACTGGTGGCCGACAAAATTTGGGGGAAGATTTTTCAGACACAAAGGTCAGCTAGGTGCCCACCTCTAACTGGTGCCTTTGAAAAATTCCTCTTGATTTTCACTGTTTCACTGATTTTACTCTGTTATAGTGCAAGATTGAT